GCCCGCCTTTCCAAATTTTCTATGTTTTCCTACAATTTCTCCGTAAGTATCTGCTCCCGCTGGTTGCTAGCCTTCAACAATTTCGGTAAATGCATGGCCCTCTGCTTCCAGTATATGACAGTGTCATACTCAGCTTCTATTTCTAGTCCTTTATTTTGAACAACCATGTCATTTCTCCTCCGAGGAACATCTGGCAATATATCATATATGGCATCCAATATAGAAATTGGGTGCTTATCACCACTAAAACTTTCTTTCTCAAAACGATATTCCTTAAAAATCTCCAATTACTTGAGCTCAACCTCTTGCCTTTGTTTGCTCAGGTTGTCAAGCTCTTCTCTGAGAAGTCGATCAGCATTAGCCTGCTTATACTCCCAGTTTTTTACAAGATGTGCCAACTGAGACAAACCCTTCTCACTGTAATTGCTTAGCTCTGAAAGACGTTTGAAGTCAACTATAGTCTTTTCTTCAATGATTGTAACCTCCTCTAACATATCTTGATCTGCTCCAGGCCTTTCTATATTGAATTGCTTTCCAGCTTCATTTATATCTTCAGGCCACATTGAAGAGAGGACTTCAATGTCCATTTCTTCTACACTGTCATTCTCCATTTCACAAGCCATTAATGTCACTTATGTATCACACCCAATTCAGGTGTCTAAGTGCCTTCAATGTAGGTGAACATCAAAATGATACTAAGCCATGCTTTTTTGCCTGTATATTTACATCTGAGCCAAGTTGAGGTTATCACTATTTAAAATTGAGTTCCACAAACCAGACTGAACAGAAAAATGGGCGAAGTGTGAACGCTTCACTAGACCTTCTTATCAAGAATAAGTTCCAAATAAGATTGAAGCATGCAAGACATAAAGGTATAACCGTATTTTAAGAAGAAGGTAGGTAGGTAATCAAGTAATGCAACATAATCAAATTTTACTATTTGGAGAATCTTCTTAATTCAGCTCCTTTGACCTTTTTATTTTTAGAATTGTTCAGTTACAGATTATTAGGCTTAATTCTAGGCTACATCTTTGAGAAATCCTTGATTTCAACCATACAACTTTTTAACAAAAAATATATATCTTTTTTACTCTGAAAGTTCCTTCAAACATTGACCCGAGTCCCACCTACTTTGCCATGACTCATAAAAAGGAGGATAATTACTTCCATAGATCATGCCTCAAGTGAATCTCAAATCAAACTCAACACAAGTATAAGGTAGCCCCTTCGTGCATCAATTGCATAAAGTATAGGCGAACCCAAATTAAGAATTTTTCTTTTGGCTTATCTGAATTCAACCCCTACAGTTTTCTAACAGACAAAAAACAAAAAATAAATAAATAAATAATAATAATAATAATTGATTGTTGTAGAACAACCATAGCTAAAATGAAATATAGAAGACCAAGTCCTATCTTTCAAATTGTGACCAAGTAACCAGAAAATTGGTAATATTGTCATCTAAAAACAGTTCTTAGAACCCTTATAAATCCCCCGGAGGGGGGGGGGAAGGAAAAGTGAAAAGGATTGTAGATTATGTGACATTAAACTGAAACATTGAAAAACATATATACTCAAAATTTCAAGTATTTTCATTGTGTGTAAAATTCATAAACTTTGTCCATTGAAACACAATAAATTTTGAGCTGCCTCACATCAAATACAAAGCACAAGAAATAAGAAAAACCTATCAAAATCAGTCTATTCAAAGAAAAAAAAAATTGAGAAGACTGAATTTAAACAGATAGATTAACACAAAACACAAATTATAGAGACAGATTCAAAAACAACACAGGTCAAAAACACAATGCGTAATGCAAATTGCTTGTGATGATGAATACACGAATTGTAGAGCCACAATTTGAATCGAAATTCAGAACAGAGATTGAAAAAGGCAAGTAAAAAGCTAACCTTTGTGATCCGAGAACAGTTTAACACACACACAAACACACTCTCTCTGTTCCAACAACAAATGAAGGACCGGCTCAGCAGCCCCTTCCTTTTCACTATAGATCTGAAAGAATCTCTTGAGAAAGTGGTCGGTCAATGAAAAAAAAACTACCAAAGTTTTTGGACCATTTATATGTATATGTATATATATATGGATATGGATATGGATATGTATATGAGAGAGAGAGAGAGAGAGAGGAGTGCATGTGAGGGAAAGGAAAACAAAACAAAAAATAAATAAAAAATGGTGAGGGAAGAGAGGCTCAAGAAGCCATGTGAGTTGGAGGTCAAAAATATTAATATGTAATGCCAAATACAGCGAGAAAATCATAAACTTTTTTTACTTCTTGTGGTTTTTTTTGTAGTATTCTCTTCGTTTTTTTTTTGTTGCTGTATGTATATTATATCAACAATGATAGGTAGCTGAAAGTTCAAGGCTCGAATGGCTCGAAACACTCAAAACGACGTTGTTTTGAGTGTAAAATGACATTATTTTGACACATTCAAGCCATTCGAGCTATAAAAATTCGGGCCACCAAACATTTTTCATAATATATTTAGAGTAGAGTCTCTCTGTTTCAACTTTAGACTCCCCATTTTCATAGCTTTTTCTTCACTCTCTCTCTCTCTTGTTGTCTC